TGTGTGTGTGTGTGTGTGTGTGTGTGTGTGTGTGTGTGTGTGTGTGTGTGAGTGTGGTGTTTGATATATATGTGTGTGTGTGTGTGTGTGTATGTGTGTGCGTGCGTGTGTGTGTCTTTGTGTGTGTGTGTGTATGTGTGCATGTGTGTGTTTAGGGGGAGAGGTTTGTTTAACTTATTTCCATATGAACTTATTTGTTAAAAAGAAACCCTTTCTAGATCTAGATCTAGGTGTTTTCCGTTCAGGTTTTTTCACATTAATTATAGGCCTACTTTTTTTTTTCATTAATTCTTTAAAAAATGGTCAAAATCGATCAATGTGCACCTATTTAGCTTCTAATCTTTAAGAAAGATTGATTTCAGTGGCGGTGGGTAGTGAAGGGCTCACGGGCTTGAGCCCCTACCCCCTCCCCACCCACCACCCTCAACTCTATCCCAAAGTAAATGAAAGTTTCTCCATAATGAAATAAGCAGTTGAAACCGTTATGACCGCACGCAATGAACATAGAGTGATTAACTTGGCGGCTTGCTCGCTTATCCAATCACTGTTGTCACCGCTTACAACTATAGTAACCCAGCAGCCAATCAAAAGTCTTTAGGGCTCAGCAAAGATGAGCCCTTTTCCCACCGCCCGTTCTTAATGAAACTCTTCTTGTAAAAAGGTAGAAGACTGGGAAAAAATAACACTGTACCGAGGGCTCACGCTCTCCGAGCCCTGACAATGGGGTGAAAGTTTACGACACACTTTCCCCCACTGACACAGATACCTAAGCGCTCGTTCTTTCTTGGGTGCGTTCAACTTTCTCGACTACACAGCTTAATCCAGCTCATAGAAGTATTATGTTTGAAGTGTTGTGTGTGCATGTTAGTGTTTGTGCCGCTGAGATTTAGCAGTTATAAATCAGGTCGAACTACTTGTAAGGCAACTTTTTCATCACACGAAAACTAATTAGTGGAAATTTTGAGGTGAATCGGCTTCGTCCCCACCATCAACAAGACTTTAACTAAGAACAAAGAGACGGAAAACAAAGGCAACTCTTCTCGTTTGCCTGGTTCTCAAACTGTCTTGGCTCACCGTGACTATAGAAAAATCATCACTGTTTACTTCTTATTGCTTGCTATTTGGTGGTAAAGAACTGGAAGCAACCTAAGCCCCACCCAAATTTTGGTCCACCCACCACCACTGATTGATTTATGGAACATAAATCTTCAGTTCAGGAAAGTTTTAAAAACATCGAAGTCTTTTACATAACGTAATTATATAGGCCTACTCAACTAAGAGCATAATGTAAGCTACATTTTCTGGAAAATGGGCATAAAAGCACAAGCCTATTGAAACAAACTTTCTTCTCCATATACCACTCACATTCAATAAGTCAGCACTAAAATTTGTTGTTCAAATGGTAGTGAAATTCCCTCGCAAATTATAGTTTAAAAATACAGTCGAACCTGCCTTGACGACCACCTCTATAAGACGGCCACCTGTACAAACGGCCACTAATTTCCATTCCCCCCCTTGCGTTTTTTCTATATGATTTAACTGTGTAAAACGGGCACCTGTCCAACGCGGCCGCGGCCACCATAATTTAACACACAACCCCTATCATACAAAGCAATAATGCCTGTCTAAGACGGTCGCCTTAGTTAGTGACTCCATTACGTTTTGTCATAAATTGTGCATTGGCCCTGGCGTTGTGGGCGGGCCGTCATAATTCAATCACCTGTCGTTGTTGTTAGGTAGTCCCTCCAACCGATCATGTTGCGTAGGCCCCTCCCACTGTTGACCAATAGCTACCAATGTTCAGCTGCTGGTGAGGTAAGCGTGCGATCCCTCATAACCCATAAGCCCCGCCCAGAACTCATACCCAAATCGTAAGTGAGATGAGTGGTCACTGTTTACCCAGTCTGTAACAAAGTAACAAAGGATGTCAACGTGAATTTGTTACAGAAGCGTCGCTCGTTCTCCGACCCATGTGTTTATTTTAACATGGCACTCGGTCCTCCTTGTCTGATACATTTCGTTTTATTGTCACCCTTGTGCAAAATCAGCGACAAAATAAAAATTACAAACGAAATACAAACCAACAACAACAACACCAACAAAGACATCATAGTGGGGCTACTTTCGATTGGGGCCTCAGAAGGGAATAGTTTGTTTTCTTTATCTTGATCAGTCCTGCCTAAGACGGCCACCTGTCTTATACGGCCACTTTTCTCCTTGACAATGGGTGGCCGTCTTACACAGGTTTGACTGTATATAATTAACTGTAGGCCCAGGCCTAATTATTAATCTATCAGGGCCTGCTGTAGTCGGAAGCAAATGGATAACTTTGGGGGACGATAATAGTATCGAATACTTTGATCAGCTGGAACCTGAGATAGATTCCGTAGGCAAACATCTTCGACATTTCTTCGTTTTGATGCATGGGATCTTTCCGTGTCTCCAAAATTATTCTTTAAAAATGCAGCAAAACAGATTTAACTACAGCATCAAAAACTTGTGCCCTAGTAATTGCTGGTGTAAAGAGTGCAAAACTCCCATAACAAAATAAATTAATTCTCATCACTGGGTAGTGAAAGCAGCTTAACTGCGGAACAGAACTCTTGGGACTTTTAAGGTTTCAAAGAAGAGTTCCTTTTCTCTGTTTGTCTCCCTTTTCACAATCAATAGAATTTTTGTTTATTAAATTATGTTAATTTAATCCATATAAACTCTCTGCAGTCAATGACCCTATGGGAGTTTGGTAAGGGAAAAGGGAGAGGGGGGTGGTAATAGAAAGGTGAGCCTAATTTAAGGCGCTCGGTGGAGGCTGTTGTTTTTCGCACACCTTTTTTCCGAGTTCTGCTCATGGTAACAGTTGTTTTTTGCAAGCGTTTTGAATTCGCGACTATAGGTCGCCTTGTTGTATAATTAATTTATTTTGTCTGGCAAAGGGAGAGAAAAAAAAACAGTTTCATTTGATGCGTGCATGCATGGTATTCTTTCAACTCAGCCTCCAATATGTATAATTCGCCAAAATCAGTTACTGTACTAAGAAGAGAAATTAGACTTAAGGGATCAATCGATGCGCTTCATCAATCTCTACTTCATTCATCTAAGGGCCGACTTGATTTACATTTTTAAAGAAATGTTGACATCCTTACTACTGTTGAATGACGGCGACAATATTATGGCCTGTATACATACTTCGTATTTAACAGCCATCTTTTTAGTTTTATGTTCAGTTGAGAAGAAGAAGAAGAAGAAGAAGAAGAAGAAGAAGAAGAAGAAGAAGAAGAAGAAGAAGAAGAAGAAGAAGAAGAAGAAGAAGAAGAAGAAAAG